GCACAGTGAGTAGGGTCAGCAGCCTATAAGTAGACCAGAGCACTGAGCATTATGCTAGACTGAACTGCAGCAAAGACTAAGATTTGAACACTAGATAGATAGAAATCATTTGCGCTTGATTGGATATATTTTTTTAAATACCTAATTCTAAACATATTATTTGTTTCATTTCCATATACTATTAAATAACAATATTAATTTCAAGCTAATTTACAGAATATGGTCAACAAACCTAACTGTATTATCAGATTATATTCAGGAATCGTATTGCTTATTATATTAGCTATCCATTCATAATAATTCCATCGACATGAAAATAAAACTTTATAGGTGTATTATTGCATACACCGTTATTTAGAAGGCAATTAAATCAAAAGCCTATGTATGCAAAGTTTCAGGAGTTTCTTTATATAATTATAAATTCTAAAAATAAATAAGTGCTATATTTGGCAGAGAATATATGCTTTGAAGTACATGAGATACTTTTACGTTCTGCATTTTGTTCCCTTATTTTTCGCCATTCAGTTTTTCCTTTCATTTTGCCTTTTGTAATTATGTGAGTCTTCACAGCTGAATACAAAAGTTTAATTGCTTTTTAATATTTGAACACAAAAGGCGAGCAATTAGCTGACCAACAAAGGCGGCCAGAGAAGCCCATTGAAATGCTTGCTCCGGCTCTGGAGCACACTTGGAGCGTTTCATAATTTATTTGCCGAAAGTCTCAACTTCACCCAGTTCTCTGGAATCAAGTTAACCACAATTTGAAGTTCGTATGTACATATATTCCCATTGTCACTAGAACCACAACTTTGGCACACTTTCATATATGCTTAACTTCCACTCGGGTTTCCAGTTCGCCATCCATTGAAGAATAAATAACAAGAAAATTTGCTTTTCCCTTCACTTTTGGTTTTGTTTTTTAATTTTGTTTTTTTGTTGTTGTTTGTTTTGTTTTGTTTTGTTTTATTTTGGCATCTCTTGAATGGCCACACGGACAGCAAACACAAACAAAGGAATTCATTATTTTACTGCTGTGCATTTAAATTTGATACAACACACGCTATTTTCACACACACACACACATGCACACACACACTCACACATATATAGATACTCACATATAAAAACATGAGGCACTTGCAGTTGATTTTAATCACACTTTTCGTACGTTTTTTGAGTTTTGCATAAATTTGCCTTCTATTTCGTTTTGTTTGCTTTGACCTGGTTTTTCGTTTGCTTTTTACGGCCCACTGTTTTCATTTTCGCTTTTCCGTTTTTCCGCCTTTTCTCTCGTTCGGCTTGGCTTTTGTGCGAGCATTATTCGCTTCTCATTAAAATAGGTAAACAGAATCGCATCAAATTTGCTGATAGACAACAGATAACAGTTAAAACTTTGAGCAAACTGTGTGTGTGTGTGTGTGTGTGTGTGTGTGTGTGTGTGTGTGTGTGTGTGTGTGTGGGTGGGTGTGCTTATAAAGTTGCCTGTCCGTTATTTCGAGACCAGTTTGATTAGGCAAATTGAGCATAATGCTGATGAGCGGCAACAGCAAAAGCGGCTAAAAGTGTTTTTCATGCTCTTACTAAGTGTTGAGCATTAGCTGCAGCAATAAAGCCCCGATTGAGTAGGAGATTATTTGTTAGAAAAAGGGTTCAGCTCAAAGGAAGACTCCGCAATTAATGGGAGAAAGAAAAAAATAAACAGGTTATTATGAGTGCTCCATAGAGTTAGATCAAAGAAAGTCAAGACAACTTTTGTTATAACATTTTTACCTCATTTTGTTGCATGAATAACGGCATACTGATTAAATTTCAAACTGCATGTGTCTAAGGATTATGTTTCCTATTTTCATGGAATCTCTGTGATGATTTTTAATGAAAAATATGAATAGCTTTACGCAGAAATAGAAATCTGCTCTTTTGTTGTTCATTAACGTACAATATAGAATACAAAATGTAGACAATGGATACAAAAATCAAAAATAATACAATAATGGCTGCATGTTGATATTAAAATCTACATTCAAAACAATTTGAATCTTTAATAAGTTTAAATCGCCTTAATTATTTTTAAGAATATAGTCAATTAAATTAAAATATTTCTAGAAATTTATTTAGTTAAGCTATAAAAACTGCACTTAACATAAACTGAAACTTTTTGATTGCTGTTAATTTTAAGCTACTTTAGGAATCGTCCCTTAAGGAATTAACAATTATTGGGAGGCAGTAGGGAAAAAAATACGACAAGAGAAACAAACACAAAGTTGATTCGGATGTTTAGAATTTGCATAGTCTGAGATACGGACTGCTTCTAAATCAGCCTTAGAGTTCCAACATTTCACAAGTGATTTTTTTTCGGTTTGTTTTCTGGTTTCTGTTCTTCTTTTTTCTATGCTTGCCTGTGTGGCAATTGTAGGTCAACACAAATCAGCATAAGCTACAACTACATATCGGGCAATAACATTTTTATGTGTTAAAGCCCTGTGACAAAAGGCCAAAATACAAACGACAAATGCAAAACTGTTTAAGCGAGAGAGAGAGAGAGAGAGAGAGAGAGACAGAGAAGAAAAACAAAGAAGTGGCTATGAAAAAAGTTGTTGCAACTTTTGGCGCTGCTCTGCTCCTTGCCGCTGCTATAATAAATTTGGGCAGCTGGAGGCAAGCAACAAATGGGAATAAGCAAAACAAACGGCCATTGCAACAGTTCGGCTGCGAGTCAGGGGCGTGACCGAAGGGGAGCTCGCTTCTAAGAACCAAGTTCGCTTTTACGACCAAGAAACAGAAAGCTGTTAAAATGCCAAGCCATGGATCAATTTTGTTGTCTTACAGCAGCTGCTGTTAGTTTTGCTCATAGCTTAGCAGATGCGGCCCACTGTCGATAGCAGTTTTGTTTGAAAGTTTTGTTAATAGCTTAGCTAATTTGACCCACTGTGCGACAACGGCTTGATACACTGTCGAAAATGTTGAGCTGCATGAAAGCATGTAAACTGGCTGTGTCTTTGCTCTTTTCACTCATTTTTCTGTTTTTGTTTTTTGTTTGCTGTTGTTGTGTGGGTGTTTGTACACACACACACACACAAACAGAGGCAGAAAACATGGGTATGTGTATGGCATTTACATTTTATTCTATCTCATATCATGGCTGAGCGATTTCATTTTCATGCGTGTCCTGTGTGCTGTGTCCTGCACTTGTTTGTGCACAACTTGTTGTTATACTTGATGTTGCTCTTGTTGTTGGCTCATCCATTTAAATGGCATTTGTTGTGGCATCTGTTGCTATTCCCGCTGCTTGCGACAGCCAGCCAGCCAGCTTTTCATCTGGTTTTCATGTTTGCTTAGCCTGCCTACCGTATTTATTCAGTTGCATGCCAAGCAAAATAGTTTTAAATGTAATTTCTGTATGCAGCCTACTAACTTGCCACTAGAATATGTAGAGCCCCCGAAAATACCCCACTTGAACGTGGAGTGTTACTTTTGGGCAATATACAAGGCAAGCAGACACTCACACACACTCGCACACACACTTGCAGCTGCTGCTGCATTTTTGCAAGCCTCCTCTTAGTCAGCAGCTCATGAGTGCTGGTCCAGTTGGCAGGCGCATGCATAAATATTATAAAACGTGCCAGCTAACTCAAAAGGTGAATAGGAGAGCTCAGCCACCTACCAAATACTGAATAGCAGCTCTTCCCGGGCCCCCCGCCTCAGTCTGTGGGCAAAGTGCTTACGTTCTGGCTCTTATAAATAAGCCAGTTGGCTCCTATCTGAGCTCCATGTTCAAGTCCAACTGTCTGCCTGCCCTGCTGTCCGTCTGTCGCTCCGTCCCTCTCTCTGTGAGTCTGTCTGTCTGTCTGTCTGCCTGTCCGTCTGCCTGTCTGTTTGACAGAGTTTACCTTTGGGTTTTTCGGCAAATGCTTTGACTTGTTGTTGCTGCAGGAGCCGTTGCAGGAGCCTTTTATGCATGCACCGACAGCTAACTGATTTTACCTCATGTGTATCTTCAGTGCCTGCACAGCTTCCATAACATTTTTCATTTTCAACTAAAAATACTATAAATTCTGCGAGTCATACTTGCTTAATGGTGCATGCCTTTTGAGTGCATGCAGGTTAGCTGCCTCTTATTTATGTAGTATATATATATAAATATTTATTTTTTTTATTTATTTGCATTTAATATTTCATGACTTGCACAACACTTCGATTAGCAAATAAGTAAAGCTCTTTGCATTAATTTATTTATTTTAAATTTGTAAATTTTGCACGATTTTTCGAACAGCAATTAGACTCGGGCTGCGGGCGAGTCTGTGGGCGGGACACGTTACAGGCAGTTTAAATAATGGTACGATAACAGAATTTAAGCGCATGCAATTAAATGATTAACAATAAAGCCAACGCGCAGAAAGTTAAAAAAGATATAAATTAAAAATAAATAATGCGTTGAAACCGAACTTTAAATATGCTTGAAATCGATATATGAAATCGGGCACGGAGAGCTTAAGGTGAGACTGCTATAGACTACAAGGGTCTACAAAATTGGAGAAATATCAGAAGTCTAGTTCTATATATTTTTTAAATGCAATAATAATAGCTATAAAAATTAAAAAAAAAAAAAAAAAATTTAAAAAAAAAATTTTTAAGTAGTCTTGATATCTAATGTTTTTATATGAGCTTACATCTATGAGCTGATGATAATTAAATATTCATTTAAAAATGGTATTTATATGTAAATAAATTTAATAAATTGATATCAATTATGAAAATAATGTTGTATACTTATTACTCTAATTTAGGTTTTCATGTAGCTAATGATAAAGCAAAAAAAAAAAATGATAAGCAGAGTTCTTTCATTAAATTATTAGATCATAAATTTCATAAAATTTCGTAAATACCCCCTAAGCCTGCCCTTCAATCCTATGTCTATACCAAGCTCATGCCCTAATTAGTGTTAAAGTCTAAGTACTCTGGAGTATTAGTGTGGTAGAATGATGAAATATTATGCAACTTACATGTGACTCACTTCATTAAGAAGTGATTTAAATGCAAGCTGAGCCGCTCGATTAACAATGACAATTACCGCGAGCTGGGCCAGCGACGTATGCGCGTTATTAATTTTACGTTGCAAAATGGACATGTGCGTTAAGCTAGGATTTACCAAATGCCGGGCACACACATAATTATATACGTATGGACTTGAATATATATATATTAATATATTTATATACATATATATTTTATTTTCGCGATAAGAAAAAACACCATGAACACGACGTGTGTGATATTTATGGCAAGTGAAAGTAAGAACAGTCTACAAACAACGTGTAAAATGCCTGCGAGCTGAACACGCGCGTTTTACTTTACTTATTTTTGTTGTTGTCGTTATTGTTGTTGTTGTTGTTGGCGACGTTGTAAATTAACAATTTTAATAAAGTCATACGCACGCACGGCCACAGCAAGGACTCGGTTAACCGCTAAGCCGGGTCGAGCCAAAGGCCGTATGCCCGTGCTGCATTTCCTTGAGCTGCTGCAGTAGTTCCTGTAGTTGGTTCTGGTATTGCTGCCACATCTTCTGGCTGATGGTCTCAATGAGTATAAGAACTGAGTCCAACAGGAAATAAGATATATAAACGCGACGCAGCAAGTGGTACAACATTTCAATCAGCGTTAAAAGCAACGACAGCGCAGTTTATGCATAAATGTGAAATTGAAATAAATAATTAATTTTTCATTTATTGTATTTCGTGCACACGCTAATAAAATGTAACGAATCGCACACACCCACAGGCACAGACACAGGCAGAGGCAGAGGCAGTGGCACACGCACAGGCACACGCACACAGAGTAAACACACACGCGCGCACTACGGCACACTCTGATCTCGTCGAACAGTCAAGTCGGGCTGTGCCCTTATTGCGGTTGAACTATCGTTTGAGTCCTGGTCTTGTTCGCCGCGTATCCTTGAGCACGGTATGTAGCGCCACGTTCCGACACGAATACGAAACTGAGCAGTGCCAATGGCAAAAACTGGCACGAGCCACAAAATATCCTTGCTGCTCGCGTTGGCCTGCGACGGGGATATTTGCGTTTCGGCTCCGCTCGGCCGCACGACAATCGTTTTCACTCAATTTTCCCGAATGAAAGTAAAATTTTTTTGGGACGCACACGGCACACGGCGCTCGTCAGACGGCTTGCGGCCTGTGGCTCGGCATTTGAGTTTGTTTTGGTTTAAATTGCATTGACTTGATGATGCTTGAGGCGCCCAGAAGTGGGCCTATCCCAAGCACTTTTATTTTAGCTCTGCCTGGCTGTTTGTTTGCCTTCATTTTTCTACTTATTTTCTCTGTTCTTTTTCTGAGCTCGGGATTCTTACAGCACTTGAGTCTATGCAAATGCAAATGCAAATGTAAATACAAATAAATAGTTCAAGTACTTTGCCATTTGTGTTTTACATAGCCTGACTAGCGCATTCGAGACGGCAGCTAGCTCAAGTGCTTATTAGCATTAGAGCAGATTAAACGTAAAAGCAAAACACGATTCCTTTGCCTGGCACTCAGACTAAAGCCTAATTATGTTGTCCCATGATATAAGTTTAGTTGGCATTTGTGAAACTAAGCTCGTCCTACAATCACAATACACTCTATGCCTAGCACGGCGCTGCTGTTAAAGAGAGAATTTCCCATGAAGACGCCATTCTCTTTGATGCAGGCGCATGCGCTGCGAGGGCCTTCCAGTGGACTGTTGGGTAATATAAGAGCGCTTTGGGACATTTGCGCTTTATTCAGCGCTCGAAAGGACACACAGTTTCTAACGGCAATTCATATTTAATATCTTAAAAATCCAGTTGTGTGAAAATAGATTTTAACATATCAAGAGATTTCGTTCCAGTTCGTAAAATTATATACGCCGTATGCTGCTCTATGATGTCTGAGTCACATTTTCATGATCTTCCATATCTGCAGAGAGGTTTCAGTTGGCCTTCATTTATGAGATATGCTATATATGCTTACCCGATCGTGTGTGTGGTGCTGCGGAGTACGTACGACTGGCGGCGCTGGCTTGGGCTTTGTATCTTTGGTATCCTTGCTGGTCTTGCTCACTGGTGCTGGCTTCGCATTCGACTTTGTTGGCTGCTCAGGCATTTTGAATTTATTTTGTTGTAATTTATATATTTTTGTTAGAATGCGTTATCGCTTCTCACTGACGAGATTCGTTGGAAATGAAAATGAACCCAGATATTCGGTGACCATTTTTTGTCATTTTTTGTTGTTTGTTTTTAATTTAAGAGGCCGCCTACTGGTGACTACTGACTAGACGCATTTAACTAAATTTGACGAAACACGTAAATATCACACAAAAAACGTCTGTGCCCAGCGGCCAAGTAGTCACTGAGACATTCGTCAGATGCCTGTCAGTTGCTATGGCTACACACACTCACACACACACATGCACGTACATGTGACATGCATAAATGTGTATATATGTGTGTGTGTCAAGTCATATATAACAATACATCATAAATGTCAGCGCCTGAAATTGCGCATAAAGCCATATAAATGAGTCTACTTTAAGGCGCACTATATTTATGTACTTCCCACTGGCCATAAGCGCGAAAATTGTCGCACTTGCGTGAAATATGTCTATGGCAATGGCAATGCCATGCGCTAACTTTATTTGCTTCTTCTTCCTTTTTTTTTTTTTATTTTATAAATTAATTTGCATAAATTATGGCATATATGGCGCGGGTTTAGCCGTAAGCCTGGCCAAGCGTTCGCTATTTATCAGCGAACGCTTCAAAATTCCCAAGAACAAGAAAGCCCTCACAGCTCGCCATGACAATCATTCATTCAGTCATTTCGCTCGTAATTTGCATTTTTTGCACGGGCAAGAACTCCCCATCTCCACTGCCAAGAATGCCAAGATGAAGAAGGCACCACAATAACAGCTACAACAACAACAACTACAGCAACAGCAACAGCAACAATGTTGATTGTCTGCTAAAGAGCATCAAGTCGTAATGGAGTGAAGGCAAATAAACATAAAAGAATCCATCGAATTGCAGCCACACAAAAGGCCAAAGACTCTCCACACTCCGCGCTTCACGCTGAATAGAAAACGCACGCGTACGCACAAAATCTCCAGCGCCGAATCACTTTATTTCACTTGTTTTCAATTTTTACTAAACAACCCAAGCAACCAGGGTCTGTGGCAGTGGTACTAACCCCACCATCCTCCATCCACCAACCCACCAACCTCTCCGCTCTCGTTTCGAACAAAACAATTTTTACGCTTCTTGCGCTGTTTTATGTGCACTTTCGCTCAGTTCTTTTTATGCCACTTGCCACTTGCCACTTACCGACGACTCTCATAGTTTTGCATGGCGCTGGCCTCGTGCTGAGTATTTTCCTATATGAGAATCTAAGCGAGACGACGCACAATCTTGTTAAGATTTTATGTACTACAAATAATTTGCAAAAT